AAGAAAGGGGGGAGGGATTCTCACTTTTATTCTTTCTTAACCTTATTATTATCTTTTAAGACGCTTGCGTGTAAGAGCAGGTAAGACTAGTCTATAATATAAAGTTATAATAAGTGTAATATAACTCTTTATAAAGTTAAAAATTATTAATAATTTTATTATTATAATACTCCTTAATAAGGCTTTATACCTCTTAATATGATTTTTTTCTGTTGGCTAGAACCCTAGCTTGGTACGAAAAATAGACCCTAACACATTCAAAGGGATCCCTTTGAATGTGTCAAGGTCCGTTGGATGTATAGGCCCCACTATTGCTCAGTACATACAAGTTACCTTAAGACATAGCCTCAAGCTCTCTCAAATAGATATAAATAAAGTAGCCTTAAGTATATCTTAGCTGATAGGTACTCTTATTATCCTATTATTTCTTAGTTATATAATGTACCTTTAAGTATAAGGCTTCTTATTAGCCAGAACCCCCACTTCAATAACGCACCTTAACACAGTCAAAGGGATAGGGCAGCCCAAATTGGTTGCTCAGCTAATCCGTACCTGGGAATCAGCCCCACCGCCACTGATTCGTATGCATGAGGCTGTGCTGCACCGGAAAAATGTCGGCGTTTCGTCCAGTCAGGCACCACATCTTCGACTGGAAAGGGCATCAATCGCATTCAGCACCAACTTGAAAGAGACAAGACAAAGGGGTAACTGGCAATCACAAACGGTCCTTCCTTGATCTTCTTCTCACTCGTGTCCCGAATAGATCACCAACCTCTTCCCTGCTTCGGGACCAGTCCGTTGATGCGCGATTAGATTTCATTCCCTTTACCCCACGCCTTCACCGCACCACTCTTTCGGCTCACTGCTCACTCTATTGACATGGTAAGCGACCTTCGCTTATAAGCCTAAGTGGCTTGATAGATTCACCCGTAATGCCTTCTTAACTGACGTTATCGTTACCATTCAACAGGGCATATCAAGGCGTCCGAAGGACAAAGCTGTGCGCAATGCCCAGTCCGGCGCAGCGGGCACACAGGGTGCGGGCGGCGGACGACCAAAAAAGGCCACGTTTGAAGCAACAAAAAAGAAGGAAATTGGAGTATCAGATCTGACCTTGCTGAGCAAAGTTTCTAACGAAGCTATCAATGATAACCTGAAGAAGCGATTCGAGGGTGCAGAGATATACACATACATTGGACATGTGCTGGTCTCCGTGAACCCATTTCGTGATCTCGGCATTTATACCGACCATGTCCTCGAAAGTTACAAGGGCAAAAATCGCTTGGAGATGCCCCCGCACGTCTTTGCGATCGCCGAATCCGCCTATTATAATATGAAAGCATATAATGACAATCAATGTGTCATTATTTCCGGCGAATCTGGCGCTGGTAAAACCGAGGCCGCCAAGCGCATCATGCAATATATTGCGAATGTTTCCGGAGAACAATCAGGAGATATCAAGAAGATCAAAGAAATGGTTCTTGCGACCAACCCTCTACTAGAGTCATTTGGAAATGCAAAAACACTGCGGAACAACAACTCTTCGAGATTCGGCAAATATTTGCAAATCTACTTCAATTCCAATGGAGAGCCGGTTGGCGCCGATATCACGAATTATCTACTCGAAAAGTCTCGTGTTGTTGGTCAGATTACAAACGAAAGAAACTTTCACATTTTCTACCAGTTCACGAAAGGTGCTTCAAGGCAACACCAAGAGCTCTTTGGTATTCAAAAGCCAGAGACATATGCGTACACGAGTCGATCCAAATGTTTTGATGTGGATGGGATCGATGACATTGCCGATTTCCAAGACACGATCAATGCTATGAAGATAATTGGTCTTAGTCAAACTGAGCAAGATGAGATATTTCGCATGTTGGCTGCCATCCTATGGATTGGCAATATCCAGTTCCGCGAAGATGACACTGGATATGCTGCCGTCACTGATCAGTCAGTCGTGGATTTTGTCGCATACCTGATGGAGGTGACACCAGACCAACTGATCCATGCCATCACTATTCGAATTCTTACGCCGCGCAATGGCGAAGTTATCGAGTCCCCTAGCAACCCAGCACAGGCAACTGCTACCCGTGACGCTTTGGCTAAGGCTATTTACAACAATCTGTTTGATTGGATTGTGGAGCGCATCAACAAGTCTCTGAAATCGAGACAAGACACAGCGAATACCATTGGCATCTTGGATATCTACGGATTTGAAATATTTGAAAAGAATAGTTTCGAGCAGCTCTGCATTAATTATGTCAACGAAAAGCTTCAGCAGATCTTTATCCAGCTCACACTGAAGACGGAGCAGGAAGAATATGCCCGTGAAAAGATCCAGTGGACACCAATCAAATATTTCGATAATAAAGTCGTCTGTGAATTGATTGAACAGATCAGACCCCCTGGAATCTTCTCTGCAATGAAGGACGCGACTAAGACAGCACATGCCGACCCTGCCGCTTGTGACAGAACATTTATGCAGAGCATCAATGGCATGTCACACGCTCACTTGACTCCCCGACAGGGAAGCTTCATCGTTAAGCATTATGCAGGAGATGTCTCTTATACTGTGGATGGCATCACCGACAAAAACAAAGACCAATTACTGAAGGGACTACTTAATCTCTTCCAACACAGCGGCAATCAATTCGTGCACACCCTTTTCCCTCAACAAGTTGACCAAGATAATAGGAAACAGCCGCCCTCGGCAGGAGATAGAATTCGTACCTCTGCAAATGCGTTGGTAGACACATTGATGAAATGTCAGCCGTCATATATCCGAACGATCAAACCAAATGAAAACAAGTCGCCCAGCGAATACAACAGTCCTAATGTTCTTCACCAGGTCAAATATCTGGGCCTACAGGAGAATGTTCGTATACGGCGAGCTGGCTTCGCGTATCGTCAATCCTTTGACAAGTTTGTTGAACGCTTTTTCCTATTGTCACCGGCTACATCTTATGCTGGCGAGTATACGTGGCAAGGCTCGACAGAAGAAGCTGTAAAACAAATTTTGAAGGACACCAGCATTCCTAAAGAGGAGTGGCAACTTGGCGTGACCAAGGCATTCATCAAATCACCAGAGACTCTATTTGCTTTAGAGCACATGCGTGATAGGTATTGGCATAACATGGCCACTCGTATTCAGAGAATGTGGCGTGCATACCTAGCCTACCGTGCTGAATCTGCAACCCGCATTCAACGAATGTGGCGGAAGAAACGAACAGGAGCGGAGTATCTGCAACTTCGGGATCATGGGCACAAGCTTGTCCAAGGCCGAAAAGAGCGCAGGCGGATGAGTTTACTGGGATCTCGAAGATTTCTTGGAGATTACCTCGGCGTTAATGCGGCAGCTGGACCTGGCGCACAGATAAGGAACGCAGCTAATATTGGATCAAATGAACGGGTGATGTTCTCTTGCCGTGGGGAAATTTTGGAGGCAAAATTTGGACGATCTAGCAAGCCTAGCCCTCGCCTGATTGTTGTCACAAATAATAAGTTCTACATCATCGCCCAGCTGCTCATCAACGGCCAATTTCAGATTTTAGTCGAACGAGCTGTTCCCATCGGTGCCATCAAATTCATTGGTGCGTCTACTTGTCGAGATGATTGGTTCTCTCTTGGAGTGGGATCGGCCCAGGAACCAGATCCTCTGATGAATTGTGTCCTCAAAACCGAATTGTTTACTCAGATGCAGCGAGTCATGCCGGGAGGCTTCAATCTCAAAATAGGCAACGTGATTGAGTACGCAAAGAAGCCGAATAAATTCCAGCAGGTCAAGATAGCCAAAGACTCCCAACAACCAGTTGACTTCTACAAGAGTGGTACGATCCATACACAACAAGGAGAACCCCCTAACTCGGTATCACGGCCAATGCCCAAAGCCAAACCCGTACCACCCCGGCCCATCACCCGCGGTAAACTTATCAAACCTGGAGGCCCTGGAGGCCGGCCATCACGGCTAACTGGTAATCGAACTATTCAAACAAAGCCTGGAGGAGGTCCAAGGGCGGTTCCTCAGCCGCCAGCTGCAAAAACAACAGCATCTATCGGCGCGGTAAATAGTTCAGCTCCTGCCGCGGTCAACAAACCTCTTCCTAGTCACACGAAGAATCAAAACAGCACGAGCGGAGGAGCAAGTCGAGCGCCACCCCCCCCTCCGCCTGCCGCACCTCCCGCAAAGCCAAAGAGTATGGCCAAAGTATTGTATGATTTCAACGGGCAGCGAGATAATGAGCTGTCTATCAAGGCTGGAGACATGTTGGAGATAGTTCAAAAAGAGAATAATGGTATGGCATCCAGTGTGTCATGTTCAGTGTGAGCAAACGTGGCTAACTAACATCGCATAGGTTGGTGGCTGGCAAAGAATGACTATGGGCAGGCTTGGGTTCCTGCTGCTTATGTAGAGGAACAAGCAGCACCTGCCCCAAGGCCACCTCCGGCTCCTCCCGCTGCCAAGTCAAAACCAACACCGCCGGCACCTCCGGCCAAACGTCCGGTTGCGGGACGCAAGCCAGGTGAGATGGCCCAGCGAGATTCTGGTCTGGGCTTGAACGGAACCAGCGGCTCTGAGGAGAGTCGTAGTACAACGCCGACGCCGAGTCTAGGGGGCAGCTTGGCTGATGCATTGCTAGCAAGAAAAAATGCTATGCAACGGGACAAGGAAGACGACGACTGGTAGAAGCGGGTGCTGACTATGTGGTCACGATCTAGAGTAGACTGAAGTTTATGTGTTGCTTTTGTTAGCGTCAAGACCATGACCTGCGGCGTGCAACAATTTGTCATGTTATATAGCCAGGCGGAACCGTGAGACACTGCTAGTTTTTGTATTGACTAGAAATAAATTCTCGACGGATTGCCGATCAGCTCTTGCTTCATTATGCGCATGTTTTGATTATGGTCCTTCGCAACCCCCAAACAAAGGAGTGCTATAAGTCCATCCAATCCATTCAGAAAAAATACAGAAGACTAACACTAAACCACGAATGTCCTCGTGCTCAATCGGCACATTCAGTGCGCAAAATATTTCGCCGACGCAAGAGCTCGACAAGTGGAACATCGTCATCTTCAGTTGTTTGTGCGAATTCTGTTTCCTCATCAACGCCGTAATCTTGTAGCCTCTCACCATCGTTATTTCTCCAATGAACCTCTGGATCAGAACTATAGCCAATACCATCACTGTCTTCATTCAGCATATCATAATCGTCTACTTCCTCTAACTCTGCCAATAAATGGCTTCTCCTCTGCATATCCTGTAATTGGCGTTCTTTGAACGCACGCTTTTGCTCTTCCGTAGTGTCTGCATTCCTCAGTTCTGCTTTGAAGTCTCTGCGACCTGCAGGCCACTCTCTGTTTGCCCTGCGAATTTTTTCTGGGTCTGGTGGCGGCCACATGCCTTCGTTTCGATTGAATCCATTTTCTTCCCAAGACCATCCGTAGCCCGTTCCACCCTTGCCAACTTTGGGGCTCCCGGACAAAGGGAAAAACCAGAGAAGAAAGTTCGAGGATCCCATCGCCTGGGACATGTTTGCAAAAAAACCAAGATCATAAGGGAACTCGACCCTTTCAACCCTGATTTTCTTTCCATCGGACCCATTGATATCCCACCAATCCTGGCCTCCCCGTTCCATAACTGCGTCGTGGCGCTCAATCTGCCACCCCTCAATCATAGTGCAATTAAACAGCCAGCTCTTCATTGTTGTTACAAGCATTATGGCCAAGGCAAGTGAAGTGAAGAGGCATATGAGTGAGGTGAGAGCCAAACCTATAAGTGCTTGCAAGGTCGGACCTAGATATGCAGGCAAGTGCCGTGATTCCCATAGAGCAAAGAATCGTTGCCAGAGAAGGTAACCGAGTATCCATAGGGATGTGTTGGCGAAAACTAGAAACCGCAAAAAATGAGGGAATGTAGTCATGGAGACACAGTTTGCCGTCCAAGGGCAATGGTGATCCATTTTAGGAATGCAACGTCCACAGTGCTGACAATGATGGGATCTTGCAGGCTTTGGGGCTGAACATTTCTTGCACCAACTTCCTTCGGCCTCGATCACTTTATCTGTAAAAACATATCGACCAGGATCCACGGTGATAGTCTTGTAGTAAGTGAACCAGAGGGATAATAGGAGAATATTGAAGACGGTGGTTTCACTGGCTGAGAGTGGACCGGGTTTGAGTGAGGAATACTGAAACAAGTATTGTGAAAAGTATCCCAGAAACGCAATCAAGATACAAACAGCAGGAACTGCCAAGGATTGCATGATGGGCGCATCATTCAGGCCTGCCATGATGATGATCCGGGGGTGGGGGCTTTCTCTAGTGGAGTATCCGAGATTCGTTACATGATTCAAAATACGTGCTTATGGCTTTCATGAAAAGAAATGCTCTGAAAGTGGCGTTAAAGCAAAAAGTCTTCTAGTTTCTTGGTTTTAGCTCTTGATGAGAAGCTGGGGTTCTCGCTTGGAAGACGTTATGCGGTCGGACAAACGTTCATGCCGCTAGGCGGCTTATGTAAGCGTGACAGCCTAATGAAGCAGGTTGTGCACAGCCACCTTTACCTGTGGCTCGACTTCTCAACCCCTGATAAAGTACAGAGTCGTCGGCATTTGAACACTTGGAATCTCTCGGGTGGCAGCTTTTTTGTTTTGTTACCTATGTCATCCTTTTCAGAAATTGCGGCCTCAGCAGATCTTAATCTGCTAAAGAGAAAATGCCATGGAGCCGCCGGTGGTGCATGAGCTTCCGGCTTTGTGGTATGTTTTTTCTTTCAACATGGGCGGTTCGTCAAAGGACTAGAATTCTGATCCGTCGGCTTCATAGCACGATCGCCTCATTTATGTATGTTTGTCATTCATTAGAGCGTTACTCTCTGACTGGTATGGAATTTTATTATTGATAATACTATGCAATCACATTCTTACACTTAATTGCCAGATCATCCTCGCCTCTTATTACTGCTTGTTGTCCTTCTATCCGGCCTCATTTGTCTTGGTGCCAGCTATGCCTCGAAGTGGCTCCCAGGAGCTGATGGAAGATTTACTCCTTCAAGAGATGGGCGGACTGGCTTGCTGGCAAACCTAGAACCACACGATCCTATGAAACAAGCTGGTTCTCCGCCTCCTGCTCGACCAGGACGCTGCTCAGTCCCAATCCTGGTAGCTTGTATTATTATACGGCTGGAGCTTTTTAATTATGTCAACTATAAGCAGCAATGCTCTAGACCAGGTGTTGAGGTATGGTTCAAGTTTCTCATCCGTCTTTTAGACGCTAGATTTGGGATGTTTCTTTGCTGCCATTCTTTGCCACTTGTCTCGGGTTGAATTCCGCTGATACCGAATTCCCAGTCATGGCTTTGCCTTCTGCTCATTGTTCATGACATAATAACAACGCGTCGTAACTGGTCTATACCAGTCACCGATGAAATGGAAGACCCGTGGCGCAGCGTTTTCGACGACATTCACGATTGGCTGAGTGGTCCACGAGCAGCAGTCACCTTGTTCACCACCGGAGCTCTTCTGTTCTCCACTGGAACTTATGTGGCAGCAAACCAAATCGTGAAATCAACATACATTTGTTCTGCGCCTCTGGATAGTCGATCGAAGACTATTCTGCTGCAGTACGCTGGTCTTCTGCTTGATGCAGTCATCATTGTTCTTTTGTGGAGGGTGTTGACTTGGACAAGAAATCTCAAGCTGCGACTTCGAATGCTATCCAATATTTTCCTGACTTCGTCCCTGTTCATCTCATTTCTATGGCTATCTACCAGCTTGCTCCATGGAAGAAATCTGGCAAGTCTGGGGTTTGGATTTCTGCGGGGATTTGACGTAGTGATGGATAGTTTTGCCCTTGCCACCATGACTATCGGTTTGTCCATTTGGACTTGTGAAACGACGCCAGTTGTACCCACAGCTGTGACAACATTTCTTTTTGGAATTTGGCGTGCCGGAATAAACGTCTTTAGCCTGGGAGATTGGATGCATCTCTCACGAGCTGCGAGCCTTGGGCCTCTTTGGCTAATAATTTTTGGCTCAAGTCTTTTCGTTTACGCACATGGTATTCGCTCGGTTATCTTCGTTAGACGTATATTATTCGTCTCTTTCATGGTATTACTTCTCATTATCGCTACAGGATTCACATTCATCTATCCGCTGGAATATTTCGATAAGCGCCATCCGATAAGCGAGCTTATGTATGAAGCCCGTACGATCCATGACCGTTGGCTTATAAAGGCCTCTACGAGCACGACTCTTGCTACGGCGGTGATGATATACAGAGAACGCCATGGCGACAGACCACCACCTCCCAATTTCGGTGACTGGTACCAATATGCTTCTGGTTCGTCTATTGTAGATGAATTCCAGCAAATTGATAGCGACTTGGACGTGTTCTGGTCTCTGCCGCCAGCAACGCTCCGTAGACGTGTTCAATCCGCATTATCAAACCCTGGCGTCGGAAACATAACCGTGGAAAATGGGCAAGTTACTGTCAGTGATGCCGGACATGATTCCCAGAACATAGATCTGAGGGAGTTGGCCGATATGATTAAAAAGTTCTCAAGACATCTACCTGACATGGTTCTTCCTGTTAATTTGAACGCGGCACCACGAGTGCTTCCGTTGTGGAAAGATACCCAACTTCGGAGCAGAGGCTACCTGCAATCAATGGCCAAAATTATATCTAAAAGGTCAGCGAATACTTCGTCTGCAGAAAACAGTACGCTGGGATCGAGATACACGGATCAGGCTGCTCAAAGTGCAACATGGCATCAAGCTCGGGCAAGTGATTTTCAGCAGATGCGAGCTGAAGCATGTCCTGCGACGTCCAGGGCCCAAACAAGCCCGTACTGGGATCTTGGGGTATTTTGTTGGGCTTGTGTGAGGCAGCACTCCCGTGGCCAGTTGATGAGCGACTGGGAGAAATCATTGGATGTGTGCTCTCAGCCTGACCTTAATCATCTACACAGCTTTGCAATGACAGACCTAAGCACAACGCCGGTCAGAGATCTCGTTCCTCTATTTAGCCCATCTAAGATGGCAGGTTTTCAAGATATTTTGGTTCCATTGTCTCACTCGCGACAAGAGCAGGTAGATGACAGTGAGCCCTTTTTGAAACGCAAGGACACTCTATTCTGGAGGAGTGCCATTGTAGGGCAAGTCATCAATGAACAAGCGTTACGGGGAAGCCACAAGTTAAGGTTATTGCACCTTATCAACAATGCTGACTCCAGGGACCGGGCAACAGTCATTCTCCCCGTTCCAGGGGCGGATAATAAATTCAGATCGGTGTCTGTTTCAGTTCCAGAGGCTAATCGCGACCTGTCCTTCAATGTTGGTATAGACGATTTTTCTGCCTGTACAGGCCAATACTGCAGTACCATTCAGAAAGTTTATGGCGAAGACGCACAGACCGAGGACTCGTTGAAGTATCGGTATGTACTTTTGACCGATGAAGACGACGGTCCACCGGCCGCGACATTGAAGATGCTACACTCACAGAGTCTGCCCTTCATCTCAACGACATTCAAGACTTGGTATTCTGAGCGGCTCACTCCTTGGCTGCATTTTGTACCTGTAGACCCAAGATATCAAGCTTTACATACGACATTACTTTACTTTACAGGGACTGCGAACAAGGCCAAAATGAATGGTATCAATACATACTTGACAGGTCGTCCTTCTGATGGGCAGTGGATCGCGCGACAAGGCCAACGTTGGGCCGGCGAAGCAATAAGTAAGAATATATCTATTTCGATTACTGCTTGAATGGGGTAGGCTCATTGATGACCGAAGGAATGAAATCGGGTACAGAGAGTCAAATGGCGAGTTCCGAAGCGATGAATGGTCTCACGCATCATAACTTAGAACGTACTACTGCAAAGCTTTGTTCTCTTGAAGAAAGGCGTATGTTATGGTTGATATGAAATAGAATAGAGTTCAGTCCACCTTGAGCATTGTAGGTGTCTGGTTTATAACACCTATGTGTAATCACAAAGGAGGATAACGCGCGACGCTGCCACTTCTCTACTCTAATAGCTCTTCTGCAACTAGTTTTATAAGTACGGCGACGTCCTCACGAATGCACCGTGTGTTTGTTTGTATACCTTCAACTTAAGCTCTGCTTTATTTTCCGAATCATAATTTTCTGGGGCTAATTGTGTTTGATATTCTCATTCCCATAATTCAAGATCCTTGACCTCACAGCCAGGTTGGCCCTCATTACGACGAACCAGCCGTCCTATCTTGTAGACTCTTTCAGAAGCGGAAAGTGCTTGGGACACAGCATCGGCCTTGTTCGCATCTACAGCAATGACCATGCCAATGCCCGAGTTGAATGTGCGGCACATTTCAGTGGGGTCAACATTTCCAGCCTGCTTGAGCCATTGGAAGACAGGCAGAATGTCCCAAGACCCGTAGATGATTTCAGCAGCGAGGCCATCTGGCAACATACGGGGAACGTTCTCGATGAGACCACCACCGGTGATGTGTGCCAGACCTTTGATTTCGCCGAGAACTGGCAAAAGGCTCTTGACGTAGATGCGGGTTGGGGTCAGGAGGGATTCCCCAACGGTTTTTAAGGTGTCCCATGGCGCTTGTGATTCATACGCCAAGCCAGCGCTCTGCACTATCCTTCTTACGAGGGAAAAGCCGTTGGAATGGACACCAACAGACCCGAGACCAAGAAGAATGTCACCTTCCTTCATGGCATTCTGCCGAGGAAGTCGGTTCTCAGAGGTGACGGCACCAACTGCGCATCCTGCGGCATCATAATCCTCGCCCTGATACATGCCGGGCATTTCAGCGGTCTCACCACCCACTAAAGCACATCCAGCTTGGCGACAGCCATCAGCGACGCCTTCGACAAAGGCGGCCGCAGACGGAAGGTCAAGCTTGCTGCAGCCGTAGTAATCCAGGAACATCAATGGCGTGGCTCCCTGAACGATCAAGTCGTTTACATTCATGGCAACAAGATCAATACCCACAGTGTCATGCTTCCTCATAGCTTGGGCAATCATGAGCTTGGTGCCAACGCCATCAATAGCGCCAACAAGTATTGGTACGCTCTGGTATCCGCATTGTGAAAGATCAAGCTCGCCGCCGAATCCACCGATTTCTGCCTCGGCTCCGGGTCGTTTGGTACTGGCGACAGCCTTCTTGATTTTCTCGACAAAATCATTACCGGCCTGGATATCAACACCAGCCTGGGCATAAGTCATGGCCTCCTTGGCTTGATCTCGAAAAGCGCGGTGCGCAATATCCTTTCGGTAGAACATGGCTTCAAAGCTGATTAC